AACAAACATTAACAAGGCAGAAGTGGTGTGTGACTCCAGAGACTGAGTCCTAACAGGTACCATGACTTCGCACATGCACATGCCCTCTCTCTCTCTCTTTCTGATCATTCACTCTGGGTGAAGCTAGTTGCCATGTTGTTAGGATGCTCAAGCAACCCTAGAGAGGCCCATGTGGTAAGGAACTGAGGCCTCCGGCCAATAGCTATTAGGGAGACATCTTGGAAGTGGATCCGCCAGGCTCAGTCAAGCCTTCAGATAACTGCAGCCCTGGCTGACATCTTGACTACAACTCTTGAGAAACCTGAGCCCGAACTACCTGAGTAAGCTGTTACCAAATTCCTGGCCTGACGATACTCTAAGGTAATACAGGTTTGCTATTTTAAGGAGTTAACCTCCTGAGCCCTCCCCGCCAGACCATGCAGCTGAAAGGGAGCCCCAAAGTCAGGTGACAGCTCATGGTTAGAACCTCTTCTAGAGGCAGGAGTCCAGCACGCTGCAGAGAGGCTGGCTGCTTACTCACCTTTCCGGGTCCTGCAGGTAGAGCAGCAGGTACACACTGTAGGGATGGGACACCATCAGTGACATCCCCTACTTGACAGGAATCAGCCCCAGGAAAACAGGAAGGGCCCAGTGAAGTGTGGGATCTCAGTGTGTTCAATATAGAGGTCCCAGGAATGTGGGTCTCTGTAGAGACACCAAGGTGGGAGAGGGGACCGTTCCAGATTCAGCTTCTTCTTGGGTGCTAGAAAATGCCCCTGCCTGGCCCACGGACGTCAGTCCTTGTATCCCGCAGCCCTAAGGAAGGTGGGGGTTGGGGTCAAAGTTTCCTCTGGGAAGTAACTCCAACCATCTCGAGAGGCTCAGATGCCTCTCCCCTCTACAGCTTCCAGTTCAGAATGACCTCTAGAAAACCTCAGACAGACCTCTGACCCCCCAAAGTGCTTAGTGTCTGGCCATTTGGTCGAAGGCCTAATTGGTTGCTGCTGTGAACACTCCATTGGTCTTGGTGCACATCCAGGGCTTAGTGTACATACAGTAGGTGCTCACTAAATACATGCTGAGTGTCTCTAAGTTCATGGAAGGCAAAGATCACTCTTTCAACTCCTGTACCCTTCCTGGCGTCCAATGCCAGGCTTTCAATAGATGGTGTCTGACAAAATACTCCCCAGTATATTCTGTAGGGAGAGAAATGTGTTCTTGCAAACTCCATATTGTTATTTTGCACAACGGGCATATATTTTTATTTTACATAACTCATTACATAGTATCTCATTCTGTTTTGTACTTTTTTCACTAGGCATCATGTTTTCAAGATCTACCTGTATGTACATTGGAACCATTGCTTCCAATGGCTGTGTACAACTGCATGGGGTCAGCCGCTACCTCTTACCTGTCTTCTTCCAGGTTTCCTTCAACTTCTGCCACCTGTCCAGGGTTCGCAAACTATCTTGTTTGCTCTCCTCACAACCCTGAGACACAGGCTGAAGAGGGATTATTTGTGGCCTTTTTACAGAGAAGAAAGTTTAAGGGAACTGGCCTCATTTCCTGTGCCAATGTCAAATCCTCTGGTAGTGACTCTCTGGGCTATCATTCTGAGAAAGGTTCTGAGGCTGAATCTAGGCCCAGTGGGAACAACTGTGGTGACTGCTTAGTGATATCTGCCTCGCTGTGTTGCATTTACTGTCTCTGCACAGGTCCAGTGCCACCCAGCCAGGATGGAAGCCCAGACTCGGGCCCTTTCCCCTACCCAGCCATGCTTGGTGTCCAAGGCCCACACTTGGGGCTGGGAAGGAACGCCAGCCCTGTGTGGCTGTGCCTCCTTTGCCAGACCTCCTTCCAGGCACCCCACCCCTCAACTCAGGGGTTATGACTGCCCCGGAGCCTCTGATCTGAGTGCTTTTGCCCCATGCTCAGGCTCTGGGCCATCTTTCACCTGTCTTTCTGAGATAATTTTAGGCCCCAGAACAGCTGGGATGAGGGACACATGGCCCCTGTCCTCCTTGCTCGGTCAGCACCTCCCTTTTCTGCCCCCTGAAACCACAGGTGCCTAGGGTGAGCAGTGAGGAGAGCTGGGTCACGTGGCAGCACAGCGGGTTCTCTGGTTCCCCATGAACTCCACCTGCTTGGCCTAGGGCCAGAGCACTCCCCACTGGCTCCGTGGGGCGTGGCAGAGGACAGTGCTGCTAATGGAGGGCGGTAGGGCCAATACCAACACAAATCATCCCAAACTTTTTTCTACCTGGTGCTGGTCTTGGAAGATGTTCAAAGTCCAGGGGACACCTCCCATCAACTTTTAGATCCCACCAGTTTTCTCACTTTCACAATTCTGAGGCTGACCTAAATAATCCACGAAGGAGGCCTGGATGCTTGTCCTGTACGGCCTCGGCACAACCTATCTGAGCCTGCTTCCTTTACTTGGTTCACCTCTATAATGAAGACATACAATCTTAGAGGGAAAGGGACTACGGGGGCACCTAGGTCTACTTCCCAGCCAAAGCAGGAATCTCTCCCTAGAGCCTCAGTTGATCATTCAACTTTCGACATACAATCTTAGAGGGAAAGGGACTATGGGGGCACCTACATCTACTTCCCAGCCAAAGCAGGATCTCTCCCTAGAGCCTCAGTTGATCATTCAACTTTGCTTTGGGCCCTTCCAATGTCAGAGATCTTGCTACCTCACAAGGTGGCTCATTTCTCTCCTGGATGCTTTCACATTAAAAAGTGCTTTCGTAGGTGAGTAAAATAACAACAACAAGAACAATAATGGCAACTACTACACAGAGTGCCAGGCATGATCCTAAGCCCTTTTACAGGGATTATTTCATTGAATCCTCATAACAACCCCACAGATGGGAATTATCATTCCTCATGCATCGATGAGGGAATAAATGCCTTGTCCAGGTCACACAGCCAGTAAGCGGTTCCCCCTTGGAACTTTATCCCATTGATTCTTGCTCTGTCTTCTGGGCCTCACAGAACTGGGGCCCTTCTTTCTTCCAAGTGACAGCTTGCCTTTGAGGCTCAGTAGCCAGTGAGTTGACCAAGGGTGGAAACACCTGATTCCATTTCACATCCCTGTTTCTGGGGTAGTGCCTAGTAGGTCAAAACTGTAGATGCTCAAGGAAACCTGGATGGTCGATGAGTGAGTAAACAGAGGGCACTGATCCAGGAGTCAGGAAGCTACAGAGACCACCACCAGTGGGTGACCCTGGTGACAATTCTCGTTTCTGGGCCTTCATCTCTTTATTGGTAAAATTAGAGGGTTAGACTGAGTGATACCTGAGGTCCCCCTGTCTGGACTTTCGGGATTCCAACCTTAGTTCTTCTAGGGTGGGTTCCCCAGAAGATAACCTCTCCCTGAGGTGGACACCCCCACCACCATGGCCAAGCCCTGACCTCCCCAAGTGTGCCAGGGTTAAAACATCTCCTTTCCAACAGAAAAGCCACAATCTTCAAATCTGGGGCTTGATAAAGGAAGTTCCTTTACCGAGGAAGAAACTGATAAACACCAGGACTGGCTGTGAGGGTTCAACTTTCCCTGGAGGGGAGCATGAGTTATCATTCTCAGGGCAGCTATAGGGCTCCTTCTTTCCCACCCATGGCTAAAACCTCCAAAAGACAAGTGGGGTCCTTGGGGCTCGGGGCCAAGGTGCCCCCCGCAGGCTGCAACTCGGAGCACACAGTCAAGGTTCAGATGGCCTGGATGTCCCTGTTTGTAATGGCAAGGCAGCCACCAGGCACACATCATAGCCACAGATTATAGAAAAGGTGCCCAATTCCCACCCTGAGGCTCAATTTCTCATCAAGGGTGAGAAGCAGAGGTGGCAATCCCGAACCGTCCCTCGCACCTCGTACCCCCTTCACCACAAACCCTTTGCTGGCAGTAGTAGTACTCAGCTCCTGAAAGCCAAGGTCCCCATATAGTACCAAGGAATGGTCTCAGAAACTGTGAGTCCTTGCCCAGCTCCCTAGCCCCTAATCCATGCCCTTAACTTCCACAAGCCTAAAACCCAATGATGATCAGATGGCATGAGTCCCAAACGCATCTCGACATCATCACACTTCTAGGTCTTACCCCAGAATTAACGTATCTCTGGGAATGGTCCTAGGACTCTACATGTTTAACAAGATCCCCAGGTCAATCCCAATATAGGCACCCTCATGCCAGGAGTGTGATAAGTAGAGGTAGATATATGGCTTCTGTAAGGCCGTAGCCTCCAAAGGAATTAGACCTCAGAGCTTGTGTGGCCCTGGGCATATGGGGGCTGAGGCGTGCATGGTAAGTGGAGGCTCAGGAATGGGAGGAAAGGGTAGAGAGAGGCGTTAGGAAATAATCGTGCAGAGACAAAGGACCACAAGAGCTATAAGCCTTGGGTAGGTGGGAGGGGCAGTCCAAGTGTTCAAGACAGGTAAGCTCTCCTAGGATTGAGGGGTCAGAGAGGAAAAGAACTGAGAAAGATGCCTTGGCCCAGTCCATCTGTGCTTGTTGCCCCTAGGTTTGGTCCAGATCCTTGAGAGAGGCGTTAGGAAATAATCGTGCAGAGAAAAAGGACCACAAGAGCTATAAGCCTTGGGTAGGTGGGAGGGGCAGTCCAAGTGTTCAAGACAGGTAAGCTCTTCTAGGATTGAGGGGTCAGAGAGGAAAAGAACTGAGAAAGATGCCTTGGCCCAGTCCATCTGTGCTTGTTGCCCCTAGGTTTGGTCCAGATCCTATCACTCGATGCCCCCCTCAACCCCCGAAGCAATCAGATGGAGGAAGTGGGACCCTTTGGTGCAAATAACTGAACCCTCCCCGCAATCAGAGTCCTCAGCCCACCTTCCTGCCCTGGTCTGAGTAGTGCTCTGCTACTTGGCTGGACTGACATGGTCTGATGAATGTCTGCGTTGGTGGCAAGTCCATAGGGCAAGGGCCAGGTTACATGCCACATGGTGGACTGGGCCTCTCTAAGTGAAAGTGAAGCCTACGAGGTAGAAAAGAAAGGAAGTAAAATGACACCTACCTGAGCTGCCAGCACTTTCAGAAGCACTCCTGGACATCTTAGGCTGGCCATGTTTGCCGCTGGCCCGCCCAGACCCCGGCGGTGGGGGGCCCGAGGGAGCAGGGGCACCGTCTCCCCTAATGGTGGTGAGGTCCTGCATGCTGAAGCTCCGGAGTCTCTCCGATAAGGCACCCTGTCCCTGGATATGACACAGGAGGGGGCACACGTCAGAGGCCTGACCCACAGGCCATGGGTAGTAGTGGGAGGCAGACACTGCAAAGGCCAACAGGGAGCTCTGACAGTCAGCGAGGTAAAAATCAAGACCTGGAAGGATTCCGCAGAGGGGCAGGTACCCAGGGTACTTGCTGGAAACACTGAGGGTCAAAGTCTAGAATATTCCATGGCCTTCTGTGGAGCTCAACAATTGCTCCCTGGCTCCAGGCTCCTTCCTCCCTTTCAGGTGCCTCTAGATGATGAGCTAGAGCCTCAGACCCAGGGCCAACGACATGATCGCTGCCTGTAGTTCCTGCTCTCTAGGGGCTGTCTGCTGCTTCTATGGCTTTACATAAATAAAAATCCCTATATAGCTACATTTTTCTCAGTTTCTAGTACACAAAAATCTGGTCAGAAAATCAAAATCTAATAATCTATGTGCTCAGTCCTTACTCTTTTCAAAGGAAATGAAATACAGACAGTATTACTAAATGCATGACAACAGCAATTTCTTTTATCTGCTCATGTCACTGTTTATGGGGCACATTTACTCCTACTGTTGCATTTGAACTTCATAAAATACCCAAAGGGAATGAATCAGGAAGGAAAATATATTTTTTTAAAAAACCTTGCTGACTGTAACCATTTTATATTCTGAGAAAGCCACAGAATTCATCTCAGGGGAAAATTCTTCTTTTGTTTAGGAAGCAAGATCAATCCATTACAGTTCTGAAAGGGAAGGTCCTCGCTGTCGGGATGAGAGAATCTGTGTCAGAGTGAAAAGGATCATCATGAAGGCCCAGGGACAGTGGCAGTGCTTTAGTGTGCCTCAGAGGTGGCAGACAGAGGACTGTTTTGGAGGGAGAAGGAAACCTGAGAAGGGGCAGGGGCTGGTAGGAGACTGGGGTTGTTGCAAAATGAGTTGAGATTTGAGCAAAAAGTGACAGGCAAGTAACCACCAGGCAAATAAATAAACCCTGAGCATCTTCAGAAATACCAGAGGGCATCAGACTTTTCACAGGTACATGGAAATGGTGGGGGATGGGAAAGGGGCACTTTATTTGCATAAGGAGGAAAGAATGATCCTAGAGGGCTAAAGGACATGTGACTTGACCCTCTCTCTACCTCACTACTCTCATCTGCAGAAGAGCATCCACATAGCAGGATGGTGGTAAGGGTCAAGTGATATGATGCCCATAACAGATATCAATTACAAAGCCCAATGCATATTAAGAGTTCGAAAAATGTCAACTATTAGGATGTTAGCTGCTGCTGCTGCCTAAGACACACAAGTTGCTGTTGAAATAAAAATATAGAAAGATCACTCCTGCCAAATGAGAAGGAGGGGCTTCAAGATTTCAAGCTCAAATCAATGATCAGGAACTAACTGCATCAATGTGTCTGCCAGATCTTGCAAATGCTCAGCAAGGTGTCTGAGAGGTAGGGACAGCAAGCATCATACATGTCAATTTTAGCAAAGCCCTCAATTCCACTCCCAGAAACTAACCAACCTAGCTCCGATATCAGTAACATCATGAAGACTGGAAGTGGCAGAAGTAAGGACAGAGGAGATAATAATAGCTCGGTATCAACCTAGTCCCGTCTCAGAGTAAACCACGGAAGCATGGATACAAGTCTCTTAAAAACGAATGAGCTGTATCTGTTAAAAGAATCTGAGATGTTTAAAATCAAACTGTCTCATTTGTGAACCTCTCAGCCCTGCTCTGTCTCTACTCAAAACCCCATTTCCATTCACTCTCCGCAAACCCTCCCACTTCACCTCTGCTCTAGAAAACTTTCATTTTGTTATTCTGGAAACAACCAAGAGTTGTTCATTGGCATTTTACAAAATTGGGTTTTCTATTTTAGAAAAATAAATTTGGATTCTCTAAGTTTGGAAAAGCTTGATACCATATTTTCCATAATTCAGTGAGCCACACTGCCATATAAAAAGCTTTGAGAAATTCTACAGTATTTTGGGTTAACTTAGTATATCCCAAACATATTTGACCACAGTGGAATATACTGTTAGTTGGCCACTTGATCTTCGCCAAAAGGCTGAGATGTGATTAATCATCCAAAAATCATTCCAACTCCATTCTTGAAATGTTGAGAAAAAACAGATCTCCCAACCTCCCTAATAACTATGACAGCTATGTGATGCAGTTCTGGCCAATGGGAGGTGAGGGGGAATCTGCTAGGGGACTTCTGGGGAAGGTATTTTCTCTTCCTGATATGCAGGAGAAGAAAGGCCTGGCTCTGCCCCGCTGCTTTCTGCATTTGAGTGTGGTAGAACTGCCATCTTGTAACTAGGAGACACACAGAAACATCCACCCAGAGTCCTGACATCACTAAGTCACTAGAATATTGATGGCCCCCACTTACTTCTAGACATCTTATAAATGACATATATTTTTCATCTCTGAAATTATAATTGCTATTGCCTTGACATTGCTGTCATTGCCTATACATGAGTCCACATGGTTGTTATTCTCTGTGGCATGACGAGACAACTGAAGCCCCTGAGTGTTCAATTAACAGACCATTTAAGAACCACTTGAAGAAGAAATATAAGTACACGTTGTCTAAGACATAGGCCACTGACACCTTCTGGTAAGATCAAGAATGGGGCAGCATCCAAACGGACAGAATGGGTATCAGCAGCATTGAAATCTCAGAGACAATAGCTCTGCGTCACCAATGCTCTGGAAGGCACAGAGAGTGATATGGCATTCTCATAAATGGATACGGGTGAGCTGAGTTAAAAGTCAGACTCTGAAAATGAAGTGAGGTTAGGAAGACCTCAATAATTTTTTTGTGCTTCTATGTTCCTCTCAATGTATATACAAAAGTTACACACACACACAAATCTATGTCTAAACAAGTCTGAGTCTTTTTAATAAGTAGAAGTAAAAATTCTAAGTGAAAAAGCATTATGTTCTAATTTAATTGGCAATATTTTCTTCCTTAGTGGTACATAAGATAATGACGTGCCTTAGAAACCACAGCACTTTAGATTCAAAACAATATGGTTGCACTACTCAGAGAAGCTTTCTCTAACCTTCTCAGGTCCCCGTCATATGCTCTCAGCGCAGTCTGTACTTACTTGCTGTACTCCATATAATTATATTTAATTATTGGCGTTGTCTGTTGGTATGCCTTCTCCTCTAGATTTTTTACTTACTATTGCAGCCTTGGCATCCACCACTTTACTTGATACACATTAGGGGTCAAGGAGTTGAATGAATGAACATATGACCATTTATTGAGCAAGACCAAGTAAAGTACAGCAGCAGGAGACCCCCACCCTCACCCAAATGCATCAGCCAGGGTCCCAGACCTGAAGGAGCATCCTACTGAACAGAGAGTTAGGCTTTTCAACAAAGAATGTATGAAAGATGCCACAGGTCCGTAGGGCGCATGAGACAGAGGACACACATCTGAGGGGCAAGGCATCCAGAGAAGGCAGCATTTGACCTGGCCTTGACTTGGTTGAGTGAAGATGGAAACCAGGTGGAAAGAAAAGTATCTCTCTTAGTATCTGTTACCACTCAGAGCTGCCACTTCATTCCACCCAAATGAGTCTTTGAAGTTTTGTCTGCTAGGGAGATGGGGGTTCAAGTTATACTGTGTTTATGGCCAAATGGAGGCATTAGTGAAAGTCCTACTGAAAGCCTACAGGGTTTTGTTTTTTTTAAACAACCATGCCAGTGGGAGTGAGACTAAGTCTTCACTATATACTCTCTTCTGTATTTTCAGAATTTTTTACCATGAAGAAATCATTTACTTAAGAAATCATTACAATGTCATTGTTAGCAACGCCCACAGTACTCTCCCATGATCACCATGTGGTCCTTATTTTGTAAATATAAGGCTTGTATGATGCTGAGAAATGCCATCTAGACCTCCTTGCCAAAGACATGAAACTATTAAAAATAAAAACAAAACAAAAAAACAGAACTGAGAAGGAAGAAGTGGCATTTTCAGAAACTGCAGTGTATTGCCCTCCAGCCTTGAGAGCCTAGGGGCCTCTCCTCCTGGAGGCCTTGCCCAAGTCAACTTGGTCTTTCCCAGCCTTGCAATTTCATTTGGAAATTAAAGCATTGAACAAATTCCCTACCAACTGGAAAATTCTGAGTTCAAGAATGTATGACCCTCTTCTATAGTTCATTATCTGGCTCTGATTGCAATTCTAAATAAAAGTTTCTAGAATGCTTTGAAAATCTCTAAAATAAATGTTGGGCCTCCCAACGTAACTCTGATGAAGGGTGAATAAGTTACAGCATGCATGTATGTTTTTTAAATGTCTTGTATCAATTTCTTCCCCAGCCAGCACTGAGTTTAGAATATGAGCCATAGCAAACCTAAGAATTCTAGGGTCACTTCATGAACTAAGGACAGCCTACTTCAGGTACATCTGAGCACCTGCCTCTGGGGCTGTCACAGCACATGTCAGCCCTGTCTTCACCATCCCTGCTCCTCCTCCCCAAAAGAAGCTATTCACGGCCTAGCATCGTAGGACTGGAATTCTGTCAGACTCTTGAGCTCTTCTCCCCCTCATTGTTACAAGCATTGTCTATCCAGTTTTGTTGTGATTGCTTGTTTATATGCTATTTGCTTTAACAGATGCAACTTGCTGCTTTCTAGGCAAAACAGCATCATGTGGCCCAATGGTTCTCTAAGTTGTGCTGCACAGAACGGCAGAAATTCCACGGAAGTATTTTGGGGGCAAGGGCAATGATATTCCTGATTATCTTAATCTTTTTTCCTAGCTAAAACTCTTAGAAAATTGAATTTCAACCAAGAGGTAAATCATGTCACTGAATTTTCTATTAATCTGAGATCTTTAATTTCTAACTCTTCCCCCAGTTTGTAAGGAATAAGAAAGCCATGTATCTAACATACACCAAATTCTGCATGTTTTGATGTTTTCTTAGTCAGGGGAGAGAGGTATGTTCTGGAAAAACCAGACCTTTAATAACCTGG